AAATTTGTGTGTTGCAAAATCTTGATTTCTATGCTCAATTTAAAATATTGATTCATATTATCTCCGTTGTACAGGCTGGAAATTTGTTATATTGTTATGGATTGTAATAATTTTGCATATTTTTACTTTATGCAATTCTCTATAATTTCATTATTAATTTTGGACTAGATAAACATAATTTTTTGTTGGCTGCAGGTCTTAATCAAAATTTAAAACACTGTATTTGTTTTATCAGACCCATGTGTTGTATATTGAATAATTAAAATCATTTTCCCCATAGAAATACACATGTAATGTACTTATGCACATGCACTTCTAATAGAGCAAATACAGTATTTTAAAGGGCAGTGGCTGTCATGCCGTGCATGTGCAACATTTGTGTTAATAAACATTGATTTTCCCACAATCCAATGCGCTCTTCTAATTACTGATAATTCACCGGTACGAGATTTGACCTGGGCGTAACACTAATTACCACCAGCCATTACTTTGATACTTTCCAGTAACCAAAGTAGTTACTTAGTCTCAGTTTGTATTCATTGGTCTGCACAGCAGTCAAAGTCATCATTTTTGTTTGTATGAGACCCATATCTCGGGCATACGAACATCATATCGGTATTCATGAATTGGTGATTTTTAGCACCAGGAATGAATTTGAATTTCACATGTACATTCACATTCACATTACAATCGTTTTCACTAAACATTGGACAATCAGATTGTGGTAAATGTTGATACATCAGAGCAAGTACCTAATGAAATTGCCACTGATTTTATCACTACTAATCAAAACATTATGACTGTAGCCTAAACTGTCTGTACTCAACTCATTTACATAAAATGTTAAGTTTGTGTGTGTCCCAGTAGTGTGTCCAGACACCCAAAGCATATAACGCGGGAAAGTCGGGAGTACATGTAATTTGGTGACAAAATGCAGTCTCATAATTCGACACACAATTTAGTGTACGACAGAAAATTGTTGAACTTTACTTAAATTGGCTGTCGTGTAGTCAATTTGCATAACAAACTAGGGTGTCAAAAATACTGCGAATAATATATGCACTAAACTTATTACTAGCGGTGATGTTTCAGCTGGGAAGCACGGACGAAAACATGGTAACAGAACATGCTTGACTGGCAATATTTTACAGCATATTGAATTTTATAAACGGCGACAGCCTAGTATTTATCGGCGTGAAATTCAGTCAAAGTTTCGCCAAGATAATGTGTGCCACGATGACCCCAGTTCATCCATGGTTTACCGGGACTTATTCACCACCTAAACATGACGAGGAAAAAGTTAAAACCTATAATTCAAGGCCATAGGAACCGTACTGGCCATACCGGCTATGGCCGACCACTTCTGCACGCCCCCTAGCAGACGTGGTACTTAAGCCCACGTCAACTTACGCCTCGGACTTATGGCCTTCGATGGATGGCCAGACCAAATACTAGTATTTTTTGCTTCCTACGATCTTGTGACTGCTGCAAAGTCAACGACTGACATTAACGAACAACGAATGCTTGAATTTATCGATAACATTTCTGATTTTAGACCAGAACAGCTGCACTGGTTTGACGAGGCGTCTGTCATTCGTACTGCTGGAAACCGGTGTTACGGGCATACAGAAATTGGTACACCGGCGACAGAAATACAGCGGTTTGCGTCTAATGTTAATTACACAATAAACCTGCTTACAAGTATATTTGGTGTCGAACAATCTGATATCATTGTTGGACCTTCCAGTGCTATAGAAATGATGAACTTTTTCTTTGAAGCAGTCAATGTAGAAGACCACGTTGGAAATCGTTATTTGGCACCGGGATATTGTGTAATCAAGGTAAATTGTGGTTTTCATCACGCCAGGATTGTCGAACCTAATTTGGTACATTTATTACAACAGCAAGGAGTGCACCTAATTTTTCAACCACCATACAATCCCCAGTATAATATCTGTGAACAATGTTTTCGGTCTATAAAATCGTATTTGGGGGAAACCAGGAATTTTCCTATAGATTTACTGAGTTTGCTATTATAGCAGACGCCATTGGTCACATCACGCCCGGGGAATGTCAAATTTTTGATAGAGAAAGTGTGATTTGCTTTCCGCCAAAAACTGGTCAATACGAACTGAAATTGAAGTCAACTTGTACCAGTATTAAGACAATATATATTCACTTGTATTTCCTTTTATATGATTTGCAGACGAATAGCCTGCATTCGCCTTAAAAAAGCAATCTGTTCGCAGAGATAGTCAACAAAATTTTGATATGACATGTACATAAACTCGTCTTCTTTAACATAGATGGGAACAATTCTGTCCTCCATGTAATAAGTAAAATGCAGCTTGAAAAAATATTCAGCCAGTGTCCAAAAAGCATTGTAAATCAGCAATGCTGGTCAGAATTCACACTGTTCACGCTAAAAAAACGAAATGTCTTGCGCAAACAAT